TCAGTCTAACGTATTCCTGTTTTCTCACTCCCAGTGGATTTTCGCAGAATCCAACCCACGGCAAATAGGCAGTCCTGTCGTACTCCTGTATGCACTTCGAACTCCTTGCTGAGTTTTCCTTTGTGGATCACTTGAAATATGGCAGTGTCATATAGATGTTGAGTGAGGTCGATAAAGATTTCGGGAACGCCATAATACTGAAATTGTTTCCAGATAATAATTCGTGATCAGTGCTGTCGAAGGCTTTTTCAAAGTTGATGAAATTGAGGTAGAGGTTCGACTGTCATTCTATGCTTTGTTCGATGATAACTCTGCTCTACTTAACAACTCTTAAAGAGTTCATTTCAATTATGAGATAACTAGAGAAGTGAATTTCTGGTTAAACCATTAATTGAACATTACTTCTTTCAATTCTAAGAAAATCAATGCACAGAATGTCAGTGAATTTCCCAGCCGTCAGGAATAGAATAATATCATCAGACAAAAATTCGGAGTCTGCAAAAAACTCAAAGCTCAGGGAATTAAAGTCATACATGCCGAAAGTCAATTATTAGCAAGGGAACTAGGATACACTACACACACATTTAAATCTTGATAAGGAAACAATCATAGATTCTTCTTCGAAAGCCACCTACATTGTTTGTCCAAATATATTTAAATGCTTCAGATAAGATAAAAAAATAAACAATCGGGTAATTTTCATGAAGACATCCAGTTTAGCTGTTGTAGCAATCAAATCATTAGCCTAAATGTACTCGGAGTTTAAACTGAATCCCCTCAACATTTCATAAAAATCTGTTTTTAGTTTAAATGGCACTTCTCGCTGACAGATTATGTTGGACCTAAATATTCGCTCTCCGTTGTCCTGTTAGCTCCTAGCATGGACGCTTCAATGATGTACTAGGATTAATGTGAAGTGAATGGTCCCGTGTTCGACCCCTGTTGGGTTCTTGGCTGTACACACCTGAGGAGTCCCAAACTGGGGCGAAACAGCTGTCTGGTGTCCCCTGGTTTCCAATATCGCTGTAAGTAATTTCGGTTCGTGGGGAGAAATCTAACAGCTGGAATTAATGCCAGTCTCCACAAATCCCATAATTTGAAGTTATTTTGCTTGATGGATTCCATTTTTTGGCCACCATCAAGCGAATCCCCTCACAGAAGTGACCAGATCAAGATAGGATAGTAAATTCATGAGTTCGTGTTGAAAAAAACAGATTTCTAGACTGTAGACGTCTAGGCGTTACTAACAGTGGATAATGACCCTCAACTAAGGCTCAAAATATCAATCCTTGTGCAAGGGAAACGTTCGTTTTTGTTATCAGCTTTAAAACTATAGAAATTGTATTTCTTTCAAAGTTTATGTATTCTCCATATTTGCATTTTATTACTAACAAACACCCTTATGTTCATAGAATTTCAATGAAACCCATGCTCAACTGAATCACTTTTTGTTTATACTAAGAAGTCAATGAATGTTATTCACTCAATATACCCAAAAGTACATTCTAAAATGTACAAAAAAGTGTACAGTGTACACAATAACTCTGATTTCCTGTGAAAGATTGCTTTTGTCTGAAGATTTCAAACAATAATAAAATATTTGTAGCATCTCTGACAGTTTGTGAAGCTAACTCAGATACATTGTTGAATGTGTATCTCTCTTTAGCGATGATGTTCCTGCAGATGTCACAAACCTTCTAGTTAGTTAGGTGGACTTCACGAAATCCTTCAAATTATTAATAAACAGAATTTTCTGTAGTTTCATTTGTAAGGGTTGGTTTTGTTTTTAAGAGTTGATCACGGATTGATATCAGTTTTGAGGACCATTGAAAACCAGTAGTGGAGTACTGGACAGCTGTTTCATCAGCCTAGTTTGGGAATCATCGGCAGTACGCACCCACTGGGGTTTGGGGATCACTAGTGACCTGCTACAGGATGGAGTTTCCTGGAGTTCTGGTGAGAAGTCGTGACCAGTGAGGTCCATCCAGATGTCACGTAGGAGGATGGATGTCCCACCGACGACAATGGTCGAGGTCGCGCTAAATCACGAATTGGTAGAAGTTAGAATTCATGAGCTGGCCATTGAATCGGGTCCCAGTGACTGAATGGTATACAAGCCAGCTTGTTCTGTAACCGGAAGTCCCAGGGTTCGAACCCTGGAGGTGGATGCGTACTGCCGATGATTCCCAAACTAGGCTGATGAAACAGCTGTCCAGTACTCCACTACTGGTTTTCAATGGTTCTCTAACTGTTATCAGTCCGTGATCAACTCGTAAAAATGAACAGAATATTTCAGTTGTCACTCTAAGTTAGCCGAAGCAATCTCTAGCAAACGTCTGAAACCCGATTTACGTATGTGTGTGTGTGTGTGTGTTCAGAAAGAAGAAGCAGTTATCAGTCTTTCCTTCCCCATTCTGGTAACTGGATTTTTTTATTCTCTTTCATCCGATTACGCAATCTTTGGCTTTAATTTCTCCCCCAACCCCACCCCCCCATCCAGTTACGTAGTGTAGCTTTATTTGTCTCTTATTCCTATGATTTGAGTTGAACTCACGACATTGTTACTAAACTGATTAGTCATCCATTATGTAATTCACGTTTTGTCTTTGTTACGTAACTCTTACCATTGTATGCAAACATTTATTTTTTTTTATTTGAACTGTACACCGCTTATTGAGTTTGGAGTCTCCCGTAACATTTGCAACTACGTTAAAATTCTTCTGTACTTAAATAAACTTAACAATAATTTCTTTAGGCTGTACGCACCTGCTGATGAGAAGCCAACGAGATAAGCAATGATGGTACCATTTTATTCTGCACAAAGGGTTGTTCTTGCTTTATTTAAATTCATAAAAAAAGGAATAAATATATGGAGAAACCTAAATAATTTATTATAGGGACTTCTGGAAAAAAGGATTTATTTTTAACTGCTTCTCTTTCAAAATATGCACACCTAGGAGTGTGAGGCAAAAGAGTAGAGCTTCTTCACTAACGAAATGTAAAAAATAACTGACCCCCCCCCCCCTTCATCTCATTGAAGAGATAGAGAGACTGGTATCTACTGGTTAGTTCAATCTCATCCATGTGCTACTATTGATCTACATTCTAATGGGCTACCATGATGACTACTAAGTATATTAAATACAAAATTAAACGAAAATGTGGGTGTGTGTTAGAGGTTATCTATTAAAAAAATACCGTAGAAAACTAATGAAGACGTCTAATTGAATTTTAGATTTTCTTGCCGATTGATTGGACCGAAGTGCTCGGTCTCACATTGAAATGTCGGCTTATTGTTCAGATGCTTCGACGATGTCTGGGCATTTAATTAGAATTTAATTGGTAGATGGTGACTAGCAGTGGAATCCAGGATGCGCATTTCGTCTTGGTTGGGACTCGTCACTGGATGTACCTGCTCATAGTTACAAACGCCATCCAGATGACGAGTCCCAAATAGAACGAAACGCACGTTATCCTGGATTACACTGCTAGTCACCATCCACCAATTTAATGAAGACGTCTGACAAATTTTCACACTATAGACTGATTACGGGTATACAAGTGGAAATACTGTCGTGCATATTGTCCGTTAAGCGTCTGAATTACATGAATACTCCAGAGTACAGCCATTTAAGTAAGTTTTCGTACAGTTAAAAGTGTTTTCTACATGTGCAAAAATATTATGAGGTTATGAACTAAGCTTATAAGCTTAGATTAAACAAATATAAGTATCCAGACGGTAGATGTTACGAATTTCCTTGAATAATTTCAGCACCGAGTCAGACTGAATCATTATATAAATTATTTAAAATAATCCCAGCGTGTTTGAGAAAAAATTAAAACAAAATTTTCTTGAACGTTTCGCTGTGTAAGCCAAAGCTTCAAAATTACATTTACTCCATTATGTCTATCTATTAAATATGTGCACATGAAGATTGCTGGTTAGAAGCTCTTTGCAAATGGTAAGTGTCAGTTGACTTTTAAAGGAATGCTTTAAAACGGAAATCCATTCATAATGGTACCCAAATCTGTCAAGATGGCTATGGATCAATCTATTCAGTCCATCAATGTAGGACGACAGGAAAGTCAACCGCTTCTACCAAAATTACATGTAAACATGTGATAAGGAGTCAACCAACTCCTCACAGAACATGAAGCATTGTTTTCAAATACTTCAACATTTCATCTATCCTCACCAGTTTTTTTCTTTTATAATTGATGATGTAAATATGATTTGAAAGTCTACAAACTCCAGTAAGTGTGATTCATGCGGTTATATACTAGTTGTGTACTACTCACGTCGACCAGTAGTGATTGCTTGCTAACCAGATCAAATTGATCTGAACACCAAAGGGCCGTTTCGCTCATTTGGGCTCGGTTTGATTCAGTTCAGACCACCTGATTTCTTAAGGTCAACTGGTGGATTGTGACTAGCAGTGGGATCCAGGGCAACGCACATTTCGTCCTGTTTGTGACTCATCAGTTGGATGTACTTGCACTCCCCAGTGAGTAAGTGTGTGGTGTTCACACCGAGGCTGAAATTCCGTACCCGTAGTTTCAAACTCCAAAGCATTGCTCACTAGACCACTTGGGCCACGAGAGCCACCTCTTTCTTGTGCAAAGGGTCTTAGTAATTATTTAATTCAACTTAGATTTTCCCGTCGATCGATTGGACTGAAGTGCTCGGTCTGGCTAGCTATTTGGGCGAAATAGTGACATCATAAATAGGAGATTTCACCACCACAGTTTCCTTTGGAAACTGACTGGCTAGGATGAGTAGTTCCACACCACTCACATCAATCAGCAGTGCCTCCTAACCGGATCGATATTTTTTGACGGAACTAAGTATCACCAAAGGTTTGCTTTGAATCATTCAAAAACTATCCTATCTACGCTGCAGCGTCTTTCTAATTTTGTACCAGCAACTGACAAGAAATATAACAGATGAATGGGGCAATTCAATTTGATTTTCACCAAGAAATAGTTTTTAAAGAACTTACCCAAAAGAAGCAGTTTCACATCTTTGGCAGCTTGCATTCCATCTTCTTTCAGTTTCTTGTCTATATTACGACTTTGTTCAAGAGCATCACGCTCTTCTTTCGACAATGTACAACCCATTTTATGTTGTTGTTCTTGCTGCTGCTATTATTATTATTAGTTAAATATTATTGTATTGTATGATATAATTTTATATTCCAATAAGCAGGTTTAAGACAAAAGTAAAGTATGTGAAATATATATGTGAATAATATAAATATTTCCTTTATATGACGAAACAGAATCCCCCAAGTTGGTGTCAAACGGTCTGTTGTTCAGTAAATGTGGTTTATTAGTAAAATAAATGAAGGATATAGAATATAATTTAGAGGAATATTATTTATTGATTTCAGTATGAAGCCAAAATTATTCTTCCTGTTCCTCTCTCCCTCTCTCTCTCTCTCGCTATCTCTTTGTTGTGTTAGAGTGTGGTAGTGTATGCTGTCGTTGCTGCTATTAGCCTAAGAATCTAGGCTTACTCACAATCACTCACTCACTCAGGTAGGAAAAACAGAATGACGTGCTTCAGTCTAAAATACAACTGGTCTATTCAACTAGCTCTCTCTAGCTATAACAACATGCATGTGTATCAGACACGGACTAATAAACACATATACATGCACAAGCCAAACTATTGGTTTTACTGTATGGGAAAAGAAAGGAATCTAATATGAACGTTATTCAATAGATATATAGATTGAACTGGGGGCCATATATAGCATACTAGGCAGATTTTCAAGCTAGGTAGGGAAATTAGCATAGCTATTGGTAAGTAAATATCTAACTACCCATATATCTGTCTATCCTCGTATGTCTATCTACGCTCACTCAAAATAGTAGTAGTAGTAGTAGTAGTAGGAATGTTGTGAAGACAATCAGACCATTCGATAATCAATAGTTAGGGACACATAGACGACGTTACAGGCATTTTAGCCTGCTTCTGCTTTAAAAATAGTTAATCTGTTTGTCATTCACAGATATTTATCTGACTTGTGGGCATGCATGTATGCGTATTTTTGATTTGTATATTGGGAAGGATTTAACGTATGTGATTGGTTGAATATACATATGTAAGTCGTGTGTGTGTGTATGTATGGCATGTATAGCATAGTATACAAGCATATACACGTTAATTCAAATATAATTCAACTTTCCCTATGGGCCTTTTCTATTGTAGACAGCAGAAATGTGTCTGGCCAAATAAATTGATTTAACTTCTATCTGATAGACTATTTTTGCTACAATATTGAAGGTTATGCAAGCAACGACGTCGATAATTATATAATGATGATTACAATGATGATAGTGGAAAAACGTTAATAAACCTGAATTTTTAATGCTTACTACTTATGCCTGTCACCAGTTGTTTTAGCTTGTTACATATTATACGTTCTACACATCCTTCCTTATACAGTAGAATAAAGATAGTCTGTAGGCATCGAAAATAATCAATAAAGATTTTAGGAATTACAGTGTTAACCACCGTTTCATCAACAACGATAAACACCCTGCACCTTTTCTTCTCCTTCCTACCCATTATTGATTAGAATTGACAGGAGAAGTCCTGACAACTGAGTGTTGAACGTCAAATGATGATCTGATTAGCATCTCGGCTTTGTAGCTAAGGTTGACGAAGCACCTTACCAGCAATTCAGAGGCAGGTAGTCCGTATCCTGTCTCGACTGAGACTAAAGTTTCTTCCACAATGATTGACTGTAGTGTCAACAGCAAGGTCCTCGTCGAAATCTAAAAATAGACCAGTGGAGGTCGAACTAGGCACCGAAAATGCAAGTCAGGTGATTGTGTTCACTAAGTTACAACAACTACCGCCTTTGTTACTATGACTTATAAGAAGAACAGGATCAGAGAAGGAAAACAGGCCTTCATTACTGTGGAATCAGTGTGCAGAAATGTAAAGGCGTTTCCAGTAGGCCACTGCAGACTTTCACCAATAGCTGATTTCAGGGGCTCGATCCTGAAGACCAGATAGTCAGAAAGAAGTAGCGCCAAGAAGCTATGGCAACGAAACAACCAAGAACCCATTATCCAGCAAATATGTAGAAAGAAATGAAGATGGGTCGTGCAGACATTAACCTGGTGTCCCCCAAGGTGCTGTACTCTCCCCACTTCTCTTTTCTTTCTTTCTACATGACTTACCATCCTCAAATGACATTAATTTTGTCAAATATGCTGACGACCTGACAGTATCCTTGCCTGTCAAATGTCAAAGTGACTGCTCTAAACTTAATGGCTTTCTGTCAGAAATCAGCCAGTGGTCCAAGGAAAATGGTCTTACCCTAAACCCCTCCAAATGCCAAACAGTCAATTTCACTGTTAGGCATAAATCCGACCTAAACAAACTGGTTGGCTCTAACGAGGTGGGCAACATAGATGGCACTGAAATAGAAACCAAGTCGGAAATCAAATACCTAGGCGTCATTCTATCTGCTGATCTCTCCTGGTCGTCTCATACCTTGGCGATTTCTAAGAAAATATTCCGTCTTACCTTCTACATTAAGAAATTAAGACATTCTGGTATAACCCAACCCTTACTCCTACAATTCGTTAATTCTCGCATTCTGCCTATTATTCTCTATTGTTCCCCGGTCTTAGTTTTTCCCGGGCTACTGAAGAAAGACTATAACATATTACGCAGGATGTTAAAGGTTGTCAGCAGGGTAAGCAACGTGCCACTTAACCAGCTTGTTAATATTCTGGTTGATAGGCACATGGACTCATGTGAAAAATGGGCCAAATCCATTTTATCTAACTCACACCACCCTCTTCACTCACAAATCTCCCCTTGTATCTCATCAGGCAGAACCAGAAGCCTATATAGAAAACTATATGCTCGCACTAGCAAGTACAAAAATTCAACCATACCCTACTTAGCTCGTGTACTGCGCGATAAAGAAAGCATTAGGCGTGACACCTATAATTCATTAAATAGTCAGTAGAACAACTGGACCTCGTCTTACCAACTCATACCATTTATAGGTACAAAATTTTCTTTCTTTCTTTTCGTTTTCTCTCTCTCTTTTTTTCCGTTATGTGCAGCTTTGTTTCTTTCTACCGCTTACGCCAGTAAATATGATAGCACCTACTTTTCTAACACCCTCAAACACTGTTGAACTTTGGCTTTGCTACCGACATGCCAATATGTTGTTGTCATAATGAACTGAGATTTCCTTAATCTATGTAGAATTTTATTTATTGATAATGTACAAACTGGATGCAATACTGTAGTAAAAAATGCTGAGAATTCCATTCTGTATCACAAGTACTGTTTTGGAATAAAGCAAATTATTATTATTATTATTAGTATTATTATTATTAAGGAGATCATTGAGTAAGAGCACGCACCAGACTTGCCCTCCAGTGGAATCCGAATGAGAAACAGAGAGTTGGGCATGGGTCCAACGGTAACATGGAGGAAATCTTGTGAGGAGAAGATGAAAGCTTATGGGTCAGCTACAACGGAGAACAGCAGAGAACAAGGTGATGTGTGTTATGCTGTTGAGGCCATATGTTTCACTGGGAGCTGACTACAGAACTACACTGGATTGTCTGGAATATGATATCAGCCCCTGAAAAGTTGACACCATATCTTGGTTATTCGATGTCACCAAGGTGAAATCGCCTAATTTCAATCATCTATGTAATATTAGTGAAATGTGAACAAGAATGGTGAAATTAGGAATGTATCGTATTCATTAATATACACTATGAACTGAGAAAACATGATTACACTTGTGAATTAGCTGAAGAAGTGGCAATAAGGATGAAACGATACACGGGAAAGAATCTTACGCCCGTCTATTCTTTTTATGTTCCATACAGTAATCTGACATTATTTGCCGTGTGGCATTTTAAGCATAATTTATTTTATGATTTTCGCCTCAAGAGAAAGAATTTCAACACTTGTTCATATGATTTTACTAGGTAGACATATTGTTCTTATATTTAGATTTTGTATGGAAATAGTTCTTATTGTCAACTACAGAAGAGGTGACAATCAAATTTCTAACATCTTCGATTTTAATGGAAATACTTTTGTAGAAAGTTCATAGTGAAAGACCATAGGAATATTTCAGACTGCGTTAGACTGTAAATTATCAAAACACTCTACAGTAGATGCTTAGACTTTATATCATCTCTTTTAATTCAAATCGATTAATTGAACTGAAGTGTTCGTTCTTAGGTTGACATGTTGGCAGATGCTTCTACAATGTCTGGTCATATAACTTGAAGTCACTAGGTTGGTAGTGACTAGCAGTGGAATCCAGGACAACACTCATTTCGTCCTGTTTATGACTCATCATTCGGATGTACCTGTATTCCCCAGTGAGTCAGTGACAGTGTTCCCACCGAGGCTCGGGCCTGGTGCCCATAGTTTCAAACGCCAAAGCGTTATCCACTAGACCACTTGGGTCACAAGAGCCACCTCTTGTGCAACGGGTCTTATTAATTATTTAATTCAATTTTAGATCTGTCCTGTCGATTGACTGAACCTAAGTGCTCTGTCTCAGGTCGACATCATGACGAGATGAAAGCTTGTGGGCAGCTGTGAGGCCAGCAAAAAACGACTTCAGATAACCGATTGAAATGGCTGAGGTCATATGTTTCACTAGGAACCCAAGGGAATATTAATCTAATTGCTGTCTTGTGTAGTTCAAACCTTCTAGATACTTATTTACATAGAGTTTGCGGTCATACTTTGATTGGACACTAGATAGTAAGTAACTAGTGTCATGTTTCCAGTCCTTCGTGTCGATGCAGACCGAATCCTGTCGGTCAGTTTTGAAATGCGGCCAACATACCACTAGGTAGCTCACCATCACGGTGCTGTGTGAATTGTTATTATTAGGTGGCTGGAGGCGATCGGTAGAAAGCCCAGTGTGCTTGCTGGCATTCACCAATCGGCGAGGTATGTCTGCTCTCTTGAAGGAACTCATGACCCTCCTGAGATTCGAACCCATGTCACCCACTGCCGTGGCCAGGGATGTTAGCACTGAGCTAATTGGCCACATTTCAAATTTCACTGATCGTATTCAATCAGAGTATTTAATACAGTCCTACATAAGGTTCATTCGCAAGCGCGAATACCTCAGTGGTAATGTTTGTGGCTGCAGCACTGGGTGACACGGGTTCGAATCTCAGAAGGGACGTCAGTTCCTTCAAGACTGCAGATGCGGCTTAATGCTGTGTGCCAAAAAAGCAGGAAACCTAAGTCAAACTGGAATTCCTGTGGTCGATTGCCTCCTACCATCTAATAACAGCCATTCGACCATCATAACCAAAAGACAATTTGAGGAACATTATCGGTGTTTCTATTTTTTGTTATTACGTCTTATCTAGTTAAAAGTTTGAGAACCTTTTGTTGATTTTCTCCTTTCTAACTCTTATTCTTATTACATAATCGTTGTATTAATGTATTCTCATACATTCATATAACGTTATCACCACTGACTGATAAGGCGACATAATAGATTCTATGATCCATTATGCATAAGATTTTATTTTGATAAAATCACACGGTTTAGTGTTATACAGTAATATTAACTGATGATGTTTCGAGCATAAACTATTGCTCATTATCATACCAAGTTACTCACACAACTTTTTTCCTTCATTTATATACATGTGTGGAATCGATTAGATATTGGACTAAAAAATCAATATGAGATAATGTACATTCAGAAATAATAATACGAGTGTTATTGATCAATTACAATTAGATGGAAAAAAAGATATAAGAATTTAGCTAGGGGAGGAATGGTTGATCCTTGTCCATTGAAGAAATTATTTTAGGGATTCAGTTATGCCTCACATCTACTATCTTTAAATTCCA